CCGGGAGGTCACCCTGACCTTCTGGCTCCACAAGAGGCACATGGAGCAGGGCCACAGGAGGGCACTGAAGGCCAGCTCCAGGCCCAGGGGAGCCTGCGTTCCCACTTCCCGAGGGTCTGGGTGTACAGAGAAGGGGCTCGCGGGAGGAGGGGCTTTGCGGGAGGAGGGCAGTGCCTCGGCCCAGAGCCTCCTGGTTCCAGGGCCAGGTTCATCTTTCTGGCAACAGCACAAAGAAGGCAGCCTTCAGGAAGCGGCCGAAGCTGCAGAGTGCAGTCACAAGCCAATGGGACTGGAAGCCAGGGTTGCTGCTGACCACACACTTGAGGACGTCGGTCTGCAGGGAGGAAGGGACAGTTGAGAACAGAGTGGGGAGCGGAGGCCCCCGAGCCTTCCACCTGTGTCAGCCGAGCCGACAGGGAGCACTGAGCCATGAAGGGAAGGTCTGTGGTCTGGAGGGGACTGAAGGCTCCAGCAGGGACCAAACCCCTCCATGAGGATTCAGATGGTGAGAAGGGAAGGGAGCTCAGCTGGGAGAGGAGGCAGCTGGGCCCCATGCCAGGAAGCCACCATGTCCAGCCCCAGTGGGGCTTCAGTGGAGTGGGCAGGAGAGGACAGAGGCCTCAGAGTCCCTGTGCTGGGGGTGCCACAGCCACGGGAGTCACCTGGAGGCAATACCTCCCCACCCAATGCCCCCTTCAGATGAGACCACAGCCCTTGGCTGCAACCTCAACGGAGGGCTGAGCTCGACACTCCTGCCAGTGTGTCCCACCTATTTTACAGAGAAAACAGATCTATGGGTGAAGGTGCCCCGCCCCATGCCCAGGGCCCAGCAGCCCCCAAGGTCTGGCTGGGCCAGGTGAGTAGTTAGGGGCATGGAGACAGTGTTGGAGATGACCAATGCCATCGCTCACTAGGCACTGGAGCCCCGTGGGGAGGGCAGGGCAGGGCAGTGCTGGGCCTTTCCCTCTCAGGCCTGAAGTCCCTCCCCAGGCTGCCTTCTGCAGTGCAGGGGCCAGGCAGCGGGTCTTTAGAGCTGGAGTTGGGGGTGGAGGGAGAGGTCAACACTGAGGTGGGGCAGCAGGCCAGTCCTGGACCCAGCAGCCCAACCCTTACTCGTCCTCCCCCCTTTAGCACCACTCCCCTTCCCAGCACCCCTGCACCCCCAGACCCCACTCACCCATCCACCGCGCCTCCGCAGCCAGGTTGCCAGGGTCTTGCGCACAAATTCCCCGAGGCAATCGACGAGAGCATGAACCATGGCGGGCTGGGCCTGCCGCACACAGTCCACAGCCAGCCCCGCAGCCACCAAGTACAGGGACACCACCTTGCCCCACGTGATGCCTGCAGGGAGAAGATGCTGGTCAGCAGAAGGCCACCAAAACCCTGCTCCAGTCCAGCCCACAGGGTTCCATGATGGCTGGGGGTGAAACTCAGGGGGCTAGCCACTACCCACAGCGCCCCCTGAACAGGTGCCTGGCCATCAGCTGCTGCAGGTCAGTCCTGCCCACCCTTTGGGTAGTTCTTAGGCAGAGATTTCTTTGGACTCCACTGCCTAACTGTGCACTTGTGCCAGAGCCCCGGACGACCCTGCTCAGCCCCCATCTCCTGGAGGAGGCAATGGGACGGCAAAGTATTCAGAGAGGAGGAAGCTGAGGGGGTGGAGGGTGCTAACTGACTTGCAGCTGGACACAGTGGACAATAAGAAGCTCTGAGGCACACCTGCCCACCTGTCTGTCCCCCTGAGCACCCTCTCTGTGGGGCAGCAGGGTGTTCCATGGGAGGAAGGGCCTTCCCAGACCACCAAGCTGGCGGGGGGGGGGGGGGGGGGGC